AAAAAAGACAACATAATCACAAAGTCAATATACGCCCCTTTGTATATGAAAATCAACATTTTAGACGAATAAATATATCTTCTAAGGAAGGAGCCTCCCTCACTAAGGGCAGACACTAATTGAAGGAAGAAAAAAAGAAATCATTGAACATGGCATACAAGGCCTCAACCTACCACATCTCCTCCCACATACCACAATGCCAATCACCTATGCTCCTCCAAGTGTAACTTTTCACTCATCTGCTAGCAGGGTACCATGTCTAGACTGCTAAACAGTGTAATGGATACAACTAACTGTCAAGGAAGAAACTGTAACATATTTAAAGAAATTTTTGTTCTGAAAAAATTTTAATGACCTAAAATTTAGTGATAAAATTGAAAAGCTTACTTTCCATGTAAGAACACCTTAAATTTCTGTTTTATTTTTTTTGTTTCTTTCTTTATTTTTTTTGCAGTACGCGGGCCTCTCACTGTTGTGGCCTCTCCCATTGCGGAGCACAGGCTCTGGACGCGCAGGCTCAGCGGCCATGGCTCACGGGCCCAGCCGCTCTGCGGCACGTGGGATCTTCCCCAGACCGGGGCACGAACCTGTGTCCCCTGCATCAGCAGGCGGACTCCCAACCACTGCACCACCAGGGAAGTCCCTAAATTTCTGTTTTTAATTTTTTTTATTAACTTTAAAAGTAAGGAGCAACTAACTCCATTTTAAACTATTTTTCTTTACAGATAAAGTAAAAATACAAACTCTTTAATTTATTCTGAAAAACTGTAACATGCACTTAAGAGTTCATTCCTTCTTTTCAAAGGTCTTAAAAACAAAATCCAATGTGAACAGTACCTTTAAACACTTATAACAAATATACACCATAAAGTGCCAATTACCTTATTTTTGACATGTAACTAAATTCTACTGCTGTACAACTTATATGACCATCAGTCATCTGCAAACGCAGCATTCTTGGGGCAGCCTGAGATTCTTCATTATCCTTTGGTGCAGCAACATTGCGAATTTTTTGAATTTGCAAAACACATGGACCTTCAAGCTGTCAAAAGACAAAGGAATAAATAGCACTTTTAGCCATAGCTTTGTTTTCACTTAAAATGTTTCTCTTACTTTATTATTTATAATGATAATTCAATTAAATAAGTTCAAAATTTAAACTGTTACATACATCAGGGTGGGTTTTTTTTTTCTTTTGTATTTAAAGATAAAACTTCAAAAAAGCCTCCTGAAGAATTTTTTTAATATAATTCTGAATTCATTTTCAGAAAATAACAGGAAAAAACTTCAGGGAAAAAGTTACTTTTCTGAATTAAAGGTATATTAAAAGATGTTTTCAGTCTTGTGCTCTAAATTGTTCACATATACCCCCCCCCGTTCCACCCATGTACATTAACAGAAATTCTAGAATTAAAGAACTTGGTAATTTTTTAAGGGGCATCAACTTTACAGCAGCAGTTGAAAGGAATGTTTTCTGCTCAAAAACATCAAGTTTAAAGTACACCTTCTTCTGGCATTAAAAACAAACAAAAAAAACATATTCCAAAATTTAAACCATATAAAATCTAAGAAGTGTGAACTATACTTGACTTATTGTCACATTTCCTTTTTAAATGAGTTTAATGCTATGTTGTTATGCATTGGCAGTAAGGAGAATAAACATCCTATCTAGCCATATTTTAATCAAAGACAAAAAGAAAATTGATGGGCTAACTAGCTATTGAATATTAAGTTAAAAGTTTTTATATAATAAAACACTTATGGTATAACTGGGGAATGAGAGCAAAATCTGCTTACATGTCTGAAAAATAAATTTAATATAAAGTAACACTTTCTACATTATAAAATATTATATCCATTAAGTAGTATCATACTTACAAAGAAAAAAAAGCTTTTTGTTATAGCCTTTTAAGTAAAATCTTTCTGTATGCATTAGTTTAATTTATATTTTCAGCAAAGAGAAATGTGAAATAACATTTACACAATTTCTTGAGTAAGCATGTTCCCAGGTTGACAAATTTCCACTTCATATTTACCAGTATCTTTCCTGAAAAGCAGTAATTTTGTTATAAATTTAGCCCTAGAGAATATAATTAGAGAAAAGATACGAAACTTACATCTAATTTTCAAGTATGAAAAAAAAATTCTAAGTTGAAATAAGTCTAAAACCTTTAACGAATGTAGATAAGCTACTAATTCAGGATAAACTTTTTCTTTTACTTTTGCTAATTCCATTAAAATAAAGACATTTAAATTAAACCAGAGGCATGTTAACGGTTCTTATAATGTTCATCATTCTCTATATTCTACTACTCCCAATATTTTTAGCTTAGACACTGACAAATATTTAGCCTTTGCTTTACTAACCACATATAACTATTTAAATTTGCATTTGAATTAATTAAAACTGAGTGAAATTAAAAATTCAATTCTTCATTCACACTCGTCACATTTTGAGTGTTCCATATCTGCACAACATATATACAGACTGTCCTACATCCCTGCAAAAAGTTCTATTAGACAATCAGTGGTGATCTAGACTTATGTGTTCTACGATGATATTAGGGAGTGCACATCCGTTGAAGTGTGGGAGGAAAACAATTGTTTCTATTTAATTCTTAGTAAGAAAGAAATTAAATGTTCCTAATACTTCATAATCAGAGAAACAAAGACACTCTCATTCAGTCCATATGACATACAGGTAACAAGGCATCTTTATAGAATTTGGGGAAATCTACATCTCAAGGGTGTTGACATGGCACCTTCACTGGTTTGTTTGCTTTCAATGTATTGTGACAAACTGACATTTATTTGTGTGCAGTTAAATGGATATACAGATATTACGAGTTTTAACCATTAATGATTACAAAATGGACAAGTGGCTTTAAAAGATTCTGCCAAAGAAACACAAATTGAAGATAATGCCAACAACGCAATCACAGAGGGGGGAACAGGACCATTTTTGCTGATCTCCTACAACTGGTTGACCATGAGAACAAAAAGCTAGGAATGCTAGGGAGGAACACCTGCTCCCAGATCTTGATGTTTCCTAGCAAGCAGCAAGTTTACTTATTTAACTACTCCAACTCCTGGCCTCTCCATCCCTTTTAGTGAATTAAATAGTGGCCCTGCCAAAAGATATATATCTACCTGGAACCTGGAAACATAACCCTATTTGTGAAAAGGGACTTGGCATACCTAATTAAGATCAGTATCTAAAGATGAGATGATCCTGGATTAGGAGAAATACAATGATGAGCTTCTTTAGAAGAGAAGGGGAAATAAACACAAAGACACTGGGTATAAAGGCCATGGGAAGAAAAAAATGGGGGCAGAAATTGGAGTTACACATCTACAAGCCAAGGAACACCAAAGACTGCCCACAGTTACTGGAAGCTATGCGAGGGGTATGAAACAGACTCTCCTTCAGAGCCTCCAAAAGGAACCAACCCTGCTGACACCTTGATTTTAGACTTCTGTCCCATAGAACTGTGAAAGAATAAATTTCTGTTGTTTTATGCCACCAAGTTTGTGGGAATTTGTAACAAAAGCCTCAGGAAACTAACACACCCATTTATTAAATGACTTATCTGATTGGGAGGAATATACTGTATATTTTGGGCTCATCCTCACCCTTCCTTTCTTGGGATCTAGGTAGGGACCCTGAGGAGGAGGTACCTACTCAGCCTCTTCACTGGATTGGCACTGCAATAAGTGAGTGTACAAATCTGTCAGGTTTGTGGTTCAATTAATGCATCCATTTGGCTCTCCCACCAAGCCATATCTTCCAAATTAATTTTTATCAGTAGTAAAGTTGATACTTTGGCCCACATCTGCCACTTCTTTCTTTCTCAATCGATTCAGAGCCAAAGTAAAAAAGAAGGTACTATTTATTAGACTCTCCTTAGAAACTCCCAAATTACACACAGTATTTTTATAATCAATTCTCAATTTGAATCAACAGGCCTTAAGACTAGTTCCACAATTCAGAAAGATTCTATAAGTTGCAGATATAACAATTTTTTTCATTATTATGTTTACAATATTCAGTTTATTATCCTCTGTAGTCAAAAAATAAATAGGGAAGTACTGGATCTAAATAAAACACAAATAGCAGAATAAAATGTTAAGAAGATCCTAAATCCTAACTTTAACCCTCAATCTAAAGTCATCTAAAAGCATCCACAAAACTGCATGAGAATTAACTTCAAAATCCATGTTCATCTAGTATCAAGAGCAACCCCAAAGTGAAAAAAGATATCATATTTAAATGAAAATAATAAAAATCAAGGATTAATTTTGCCCAAGATTTCTTTAATGTCTGACTTTCACCTTTACATGAGCAATAAGGAGCAAGTAAAAGAAATTATTGTAAAAAATTTAAATAGTTAAGAAAAAAGATCTCTAATTCTTTTTTTTTTAACATCTTTATTGGAGTATAATTGCTTTACAATGGGGTGTTAGTTTCTGCTTTATAACAAAGTGAATCAGCTATACATATACATATGTTCCCATATCTCTTCCCTCTTGCGTCTCCCTCCCTCCCACCCTCCCTATCCCAGCCCTCTAGGTGGTTACAAACCACCGAGCTGAAGAGCTCTAATTCTAATAAACAATATCAAGTATTGATATTGATATCATCAATATCAGAGATATTATCTGGGGCCAGAAAAAGTCATCCAGGCTTCATTCCTTCCTTTCCCTAGGTAGATGGACCTCTCTATCATCTGAACTCCTAACCAGTCATATCAATTGATATGGAATGTCAGATTTAAGTGACTATATTAGTTTATTAATTTATTGATCATATTAAATAACATTCTTGTTTACAATCAGACTCTCCAAAGTTTGGATGACATGGAACCACTTATCTATAGTCTGATCACCCCTAGATAAACGGTTAAAACTGATAATTTTTGAGGAATCAAGAAACTATCTAAATTTAGACACTCTATGATACTATGAAAAATCTGCCAGCCATTTCTTTTTACAATCTTATCAATTTCCTTGAGAAATTTCCTTCTGTCTATACCTAACAACATAAGCATCACATTTTCCATCAACCCTAGAAATGGGGCCATATACTCAGAAGGAATCTATGAGTATGATTAAGTTCTGATACATCTTCCATCGTTATTGCAAAGTGGGTTAAAATTAAGAGAATAAAAAAGTTTCATTCTCCACAGTCCTTTATAAGTACTTAAAATCATAATTTATTTCTTTACTCTGTTACTACTTCCAAAAGCATTTCCAGTGGCTTCAGCAGAGATTTTCTAGGGCTTATTTTTTCATCCACTCATATTTATATCAAGAGAAGTTTTTGCTGGACTATTCACATATCTACCTGAGGATCCAAGCAACTGGGTAATGATTCAAGTAAGTTGCCTTGGAATATGAAATAGTGGTTCTGCCTACAGCTGCTTTAAATGCCTGAGGGATAAATTTTTATGACACCCTCTTTCTCATCTACTTCTTTGCTCTGCTGAAATAACTCAATATCATTTTAACAAAATTTGATATTAATAAACATGGGGGTGGGACAGGAAGAAATCAGAAAAAAAGTATCATTTGTCACACCCTGTACCATCCTAAGGATAGTATCAGACTCAAGAAAACTGGAACAAAAGAGAATTGTTTATTATAATGTTAGAAATTTCAGAACTTTCCCCATGTCACCCATGCAGGCATCTATGGTAAGCCTCAATTTGGAGGACATTTTCCTCCAGAGAAAATCTATGTTTGCTTCTGATTGAAACAACACTGCAACTGAGAGCCTCAGCTTTCGGCTCGTGGAGAAGTAGCAAAGTTAACCTTAGCCAGAATCTCAACTCACTGTCAGTAAGTAGCACCACGCTAGCTCCATAATCCTTTCTATCAGCTTTCCTGATTCAGGCGCCCAAGATTTCCATGCAGAAAGATAAAGAAATATAAAATTACAAGAAAATATGATACAAGGGAATAAGCTATAAAATCTGAGAATCATAAAAATATTAATTTTAAAAAAATTTAAGACTCTAAGGAGTTGAGAATTTGGAATTATCA